AAGAATTAAAACTAATTTCAGAATTCAAACAATATTCAAATCCCATATGGAGGAGTTTTCACGAAAGAAATCAAATTAAGGAAAAAAATGAGCCTTCTGTGAAGCAGCACAATGAATTATTTTCTATAATCAAAAGCTAACCAAATTAAATCAATTGTTCTAAATGCCAATGCAATTCAGTAAGCAAATTGATGAGCATGCCATATGTGATCTAGTCACCGTTTATTCATCATTCCCAATCATTAAAATGCATCCATATTCCATACTGCAGCAAGTATCAAACAGCATGTCATCACAAGTATCATATCAAAGAACACAAGCAGTATCCTGAACTGGTAACATGAGATCTAAATTTTTATTGTGCAGATGATCCCCACTATCCATGTGTTCTCGACAGGAAAATACCCAGACATCCCAAATGTCATTAGTCCTTAATCTTTATTACCCAAGTTTTCTCTAGATCCAGTTATACCAATACAACTCTTTCACAACACGGCTCTTCATTTGTTTTTTTTTTTTTTTTACCAGCTTTTTTTTTTTTTAAACCAGCGACTCTGCAGTTTGAACATCAATATTTATTCTAATAACATTGCCATGATTTGGAAAAGGAATATAAGAAAGAAAATAGGCAAAGGAAAAACTGATATTCATCTAAAAATCGCTATCCAACTATATAAGATCTTCAAGTCATGACAAGTTTGTGTATTTGCATTTGATTTTCATGCTGCCAAAAGAAGACAGCTTAATGCTAATTGAATTAGTTTTTTACAGACATCACTGATGACTTAAAAAAGACGAGTACAAGCTGCACCTGAACAATACTTCATGTGCCATTTTGGGTTTTAATTTATTTAGAAACACCAAGGGAAAATGAGAATATTGTTCCTAATAGCCATGTCGCATCAGGATGCAATGAACCCAACTAATAGCAACCCATGTGATGCCCAATATTTTGACACTTCTCTGGATGCAAAATTATCTGATTCTGCCGTTTGAGTAATTGCAACACCTACTCAGGATTCTTCCAATTAAGCTAATGCAATGTATCAATGCCTTTGTGATTTCCGAATTTTATTATAGTGATTTGTGTTTGTATGATCAAAATGCATGTATACCACATATAATGAAAAAGAAACAAGCTTCCAAAACTCAATAGAGCATATAATAAACCTTGCATATTGGGCGGTGTGGATCTCTGAGATTCACCAGCAAATTGTCACTTTTCAAGTCAAAGTGTACAATATTTTTCCCATGCAGGTATTCCATACCAAATGCCACATCCATTGCAATCAAAAGACGCTTACGCTTGTCAAGATTCCTGATACGAACATGTTAGTATCAAACTTTTATGTGATTCTGGAAACAGTACATTTATTAAGGTAAGGCAAATTAATTGGGAGATTGGGGGAGGACACTCAGTCACAAAAGTATAAGAGGACACCACCTCTCACTTTTCTGCAGGGCATTTCTTAGAGAACCATTGACCATATACTCTGTTACTGTTGCCACAGAACCTCCTGGGCCATCAAGCACAACACCATAGAATGCTACAACAACATTTGGATGGTGCAAGTCAGCGAGCTTGATTGCTTCGTTCCAGAAGTCAGTTCTCTGTATGATGCACCAACCAAGAATTAATTAACCAGGTTATTTTATTAGTCAGGTAAGGGAATTCAGAATAATGGAAATTGTAACCAATAATAAGATAGACCCAGACCATGCGCTCTTGCTCAGAAGGCTTTCCAGCAAAGCACCTATCATTAATACGCTTGATTGCTACATCAGTGCCCCTCCATTTTCCATGATATACAGTCCCAAAGGTACCTGAACCTAGTTCTCTTAGCTCTTCAAGATCACAATTCTTTATAATCTACAAAAGACCAAAAGCAACATGTCAGTTCAGCTAATTCAACAACATGAAAGCATAGAAGATGAAATATAATGCCAAAAAAATATCAACCTGCAATCCTCCAAGACCATCTGATAAAGGAATGCCAAAATTTGGCTTTTCTGGAAGCTTGCTCTTGACATCCTAAAAGGGAAGTATATATGATTATACCTTAATTGTAATGAAACCACACCACAAAGAAAGGGGGTGAAAATGTTAATTTGGATATCGTTTCTGCAATTATAGCGCATGAGATAACAAACATATTGAGGAACAAGTAAACAAAATTACCAAAGCTTTAGCTCTATTTAGATCATTTACATCTCCAACATCTTCCCGACTGGACATGTCCCTGGCATGTAAATCAGGACTAGGAGTGCTTGGGTGCAGAACAGAAGCAGCTACACCCTCAGCAACAGCTTGAAGTTCTTGTTTGATCTGGTCTTCGGCTGAGCCTTCAGTAAAGAAACAAGATAATGATTGTGTGATCCACAACTCCAGAACAACAATCAAACGATAATTAACATATATACATATATTAGGAATTTTAAAAAGTTACAGACCCTTGGCTGAATGGCCATGTTCTAAATTTAAACCCTGTTTGAATTGCTGGTAAAAACTTTCCTCCAATTGAGCTTCTAAACTTTGTTCCCCACAGCCGCCAGTGAATTCCTCACCAAAGTGATCCTTAGAAGAATATATTTCTTTCTTTGAAGGAACTCTTTTAGGTCTTGGAGGAGGAAAGTACGTACTATGGTGTACATTCCAGGGATCCTGATTACTGAAAAGTGAGTTTGAAGAATCCTGCACATCTCCAGACCTGATAGATGGAGATATTAAAGATGGTAAATTATCATCCTTGAGGAGGTTTCCACTTTTTGACTGAGGATTTGATCCAGGAATGTCCCAAACAGATGATTGTGCTATCTGACTACCTTCCACTGGCTGGGAGACCAAGTTAACAAATTCATTTGTACGCTCATTAGGGGACTCTAGAACAGGAGTTGTATCACTATAAACAGGTTTATTCACTACCACATCCTGATTAACCCAGTTCTCAACTGGAATCATTTGTTGGCTAACAACATCATCAAAGCATGACAGTGGTGCTGTCCCCATGGATCCATCAGTCGGTGACTGGTTATCTCCTGCCTTTCCAATCACATCTGCGATAATGGGACTCCTCATATGATCAAAGGCATCATGCTTTTGTGTAACGCTCCTCTCCCCTTCGGGCTGTGACTCAAGCTTATAAGAAAGGCCTGTTGCATTAGTGCAAGGCATTCCAATGGGAGGTTCCGCTTTGCTAACGACTCTGGATTTGGTGTCAATCCCTTGTTCAATAGCACTATCCTTCAAGGGTGCAGTCACCATTACCCTGTTTGTTGCTTGAGCTTTTAAGTTTTCCTCCATGGGGAGACTATGATAGCTTAGGATCGAATCAGAAATTGAATTTGCAACACTCTCTCGCTGATCAGGAACCACAGGATCTGAATGCGCATGAGGCAATAATTTCTGACACATATAACAGTCTTCCTCCTTTTGGAATTTCTCAAGGGTTCTTACTTGTTGTTGAGGCAACAACCCATCAGACAAAATAACATTCTCTTGTGAAGGAACCTGAACCCAACCATAATTACCAGCAACCACAACAGAAGGAACTTGAACTGGGTATGCATTGTAGTTCTGTTCAACAGGAAGCTGGATGATCTTAGGCCCTGATGTACTTTCATCATTATATTGGTCCAAACGAGTTTGCTGAGGTTGCCTCAATGGTTGCGGAATGTTTGTTCTTACATTAACATGAGAAGCTGATGGAGTCATTGTCATTGGCACTGCGGAGATGAACTGGTGAGAAACAAAAGCTGGAATATTATCATGGAATTGCTGTTGAGTGAAGGCAGGCCCTTGCTTCCCTAAAAGGTGAGAATTTGGGAACCCTCCCTGAGGAGGCAGCTGGACATAATCTGCATGACTCATAACTTCCTGACGCGAATCAACAAAAGGATGCACATAAGGTGCAGGAGGTGAAACGTCCATTCCAGATTGCTGCGATCCGAATTGCTGTTGCTGTAAAGTAAAAGGAACAGACTTTTCTAATTCAACCTCATTCTGGAAAGCTGATGTCTGGGCCGGACCAGACACAGCAACTGGCATGCCCATCGGAACTGCAGAAGCATCCGAGTATACTCTTGGACTTTGATCTGCCACCACCAACTTTGCAGCAGTGTCATGAGAAGCTGCCACATTGTCTCTGGGTGACAAAATGCAAGATGATGGCGTTGCACTTATATCCCCAGGACCAGAAACAGAACTATCAAGAGCATCAGCCGCACTAACATCTGAATTTTGGGTTGAAGCCGCACTTGTGATACTCCCTTTCCTCATAAGCCGGCAATTGACTCCATCTGTAATTCCATTCACAGCGTCAACATATCTCTGGCCACTATCATGTAAATCTACTAGCGGCACCTCACAAGGAGCATCAAGTTCCAATGCAGAAAACAGAAAAATCCTTAGTTTAGCTGAACCATCTGAAGATCTTTCAATTAATTTTTCATACTCATCCATCATATTTTCAAGATCATCTGGGCAAGAAACTGAGACCAATGCATCAAGATCCTCTTCAGGGAGCTGATACTTGATAACCACAGGTTGACCATATGTATCAACCATCTTTTGCATCAGTTCGTTGAAGCTCACATCCCTCTTAACACTAATTATTCTTGTCTGCCCTCCAACATATCTCAACATCCCATCACTAGGTCTAGGTATAATCTTCCCACCGTAACTGCATAAAAACTTCACTTTTCTCCCTGACACGGAGTCATCCTCTCCCTCATCACTAGCAAGATCAGCCCCACTCCGCTGAGTGGGGCTATTACCAAACCCAGTTGCTGCAGTACTGCCTGCCTGATCACTACCAATGGCATTGCCAATTATTCTATTTCCCTGAACAGAGCTACAACCAAATCCGTTAATTGCATCGTTTCCAGCCCTATCCAAGCCACTGCCCCCAGCCCAGTTGCCCAGAATCGTGGCATAACCAGGTCCGTTTGCAACGACACTGCTTGAAATATCAACAGCACTGCCACCAGCCATCCGATTGCCAAAATTAGGACTACAGTTATACCCAATATTAGGATTCATAGCCGTATGCACAATGGACACGCCTGGACGAACGCACCAGGAAGTAGGACCCGATGACATAGTTCCATACCCCACACCAACAAGCCCAGAATCAGACACAGGTGCTGGGTAAAAAATTGGCAAAGTCCCTGGGCTACCGACGTCACGAGCTGGAGTTGGAGGAAAGCATTCTAACGTCCGACCCATGGTAGTCGCCGGTACAATGAGAGGCTCATCAGGTATAGTTCGAGCTACGTTTAACGGTCGCAGATCTTTTGGAACGGAATTTTGGTCAAACGCCATGGCAAAGAAAGCTATTGAGATTAAATTAAAAGAAGATCAAAATCAACCCAAGAAAACAGAAGAAAATGAATTGAAATCAAAATCCAAGGGATTGGGCAAGGAATCGATTGCTACATTCATATACAGGTTCAAAATCCAGGAAAGTGAGACAAACCCTAGTCAAATTGAGCAAAACAAGGAGGGATATCTGACAAATTCAGAGAAACAGGGATAATGAAACAGAGATGAAGAGAAATTAAATACCAAAAATATTGAACGGCGCAGTAGAAGAGTGATAAGATGGAGGAAAAATATGAGACAGGACAGGTGAGTCGGTGGAGTCCCCAAATGGCAACAGGTAACCGCGAGTCACCCCCAAATCAAGGCTTTTATAGAATCTTCGTTTTCGCAATCTGGCACTCTTTTCCACACTTGCTCTCCGACCGAACCATGCTTACCAGCGGGAATCAGCGTTCCATTCTTTTTCTATTATTTTAATCCCATTTCATCAACTCAGGGACTATATTATTATATATTTTCCCGGGAAAGTGACAGAAAGTGGGGTCGAGGCGATGTGTTCAAAACGGCACGAAGAAGAGGAAGAGCAGGACGAAGAAGGGTCTGAGATTGCAGGGAAAGAGAGAGAGAAAGAGAGGGAAGGCACGTGGACTGCTTCATGCAATTACGAAGTGCTTTTCAAGTTTGAAAATTGGATATCTGAGTGAGTGGGTTTGATGTTGGAAGAAGCCGAGGACGTGCTTCAGAAGCAGAAAATGACATCTTTACTTATTTATGATTTTGGTTTTGGGCCCTCTCGTTAGCACCTTCCCTACCAAATTTTTCCCTCCTCACGAAACCTATGTCCCAAATTTCTTCCTTGTTTGTAAAATGGATGACACAGGAAACTGGTGATTTATTTTATTACAAAAAAATATTTTATTTTCTTTTGAAAAAATTATAGTTATTGAAAGATTTTTCTTTAACTTTTAATGGGAACATAAAAAATTTAACCTTTTAACATTGTCTTTTCATCAAAATCATTAATAATATCTTCTATAATATTATAAATGTACAAGTTCAGGAGGATATTATACTTTTTCCTTTCCAAGTTTTTGTCTGTTAATATTGTATGACTTTCTTTAATAGATAAATATTATCTATTATCAAAAAACTAAATGCGCAAGATCATTCTAGTTTATTAAACAAAGTGAGATGTTGATGGGATTTCACTTGTGAACAATAAATTTTTTAAGTAATATTCAAGCTTATTTGTGTTGTTTAAATTTATTTTTAAAAAATTTTGAGTTCTATTAATTTTAATATCATAGCTTTTGAATGAAATATTAGATTAAAATCTCAACTGTTTAGATCATATATTATAACAGTAAAAATTCGGCGCACGAAATAAAATTTTATATGGCTGTCGCAGACTCAACAGTGTTTCTTTTTTAAAAAAAAAAATTTAAGGATTAGACTGGCAGCAGAGATTGTCTCCCTAAAATACTAAAACTAAATGACAAATCTCTCCTAACAAGTTTGCTAAGTCACCAAGTGTTTTAAAGCTTTATAATTGAGTTTTTTAACATAAAAAATCACTTTGATTAAAAACATCTTTGTAGGTTTTATTTGTTATACATTCCGTTTGAATCATGATGTAAGTCATCATTAATTAATTTATATTTCTTGTTAAAATTTTAATTTTCTAAAATTTTTACATATTTTCATTCTTACCCCTGCAGCAAAATAAATATAATATTTGATTTATTTAAAATATCATCATTAATTGATTGAGTGGAACATAATATAGTAAAGATCTAATTGGAGATATATATATATATATATATATATATAACATACTCAATTCTCTATATTTTGAATCCAGTTGGGCTTTTAAAAAGTCTCTTAAGGAATATGTGATTATTCAATTTAAGCAATACTTGTGAATAGATACTCAAAAATGTATAATAACTGAATATCTTTCAACATGCATAGGATAAATAAAAATTTAAATTTTTATATTATTTTTTTTAAATTTTTTTCCAGCATTTTTTAATATTTAAATCGTAACGAAATTTGCAAAAGATATAAATGAATGATAAAAGTTGCATTAAGTGCAATAAAACATATTCGCCGAAAAAATGAATGAGTAAAAAATTAATTGAAGCATAATAAGAGTTAAATTTAAATTATGTAAATTTTATATTTTACATTAATATTGATAACTATATTGTTCGATGGTAATTATATTGATGATCATTAGTTAATAAATAAAGAATTTTGAGTTGAAGTTTTTCTCTGCTATAAAAAATGTTTACACATGTTCAATTAGGTGAATAGTTGTGTCGCGGCAAAATATATATATATATATATATATATAAGTTTTATATAACACATCTAAATTAACAATTGAGGAAAGGAAAATGACAATCTCAATTGTCAATAAATCTTGAAATATTTAATTGTATTGTTTGAGATTTTAATGTCATTCTTGTCAATGAATCTTATGATATTTCTTTTTGTTTTTGTGAAAAAATCTTATAATATTAAATATGATGTTTGAGATCTGAAAGTAATTCTCAAAAAAAAAAAAGAGCAGCCATATTGTCATGCATTTTATATAATTGAAATGAATTAGACTATTTCCATATTTCAGTAAAATAAATTATATTATTTATGGCTCATAAATAATTTGATTTTCTATCATTTTTTAATACACACATAGTAATAGGTAATTAATGATAGGCAAATATTATACTGGCAGAATAAACAGGGATCCAAATTAGATTTTGTATGGATTTTTTCATGGATTTAATATCAGAATATAAATTATTAAAATTAAAAGTTAGTTAAAAAATAATAAATCAAGACCATTACAAGGGAGACTATCATTGTTAAACTGTCGAGTTGACTCTTAAAGTTTATCATTTTTACATTTTTAGTTTATAAAATTATATCAACTCGTTATAAATTCAAATTAGATGAAGTTTAGTTAAACTTGCGGGTTAACTATCCGAATTTATCATTTTTACATTTTTAACTTTACATACTCATGTCAATATACTCATAAATTTAGACTAAATGCAATTGATTAAACTGGTTAAACTTATTAACTTTTAACTAAGTTGAACAAATTAGATATATAATATATAGAATTCACTTCATAGAAGCAGTAGGACACGATTTAAAGAAAAATAAAATTCAAAAAGCAAATATTAATATCAATAAGAGAAAGAAAATAACAAAAATAAGTTGTTATATTTTTAAAATTTTTATATTAATATGATAATTTATCAATATAGATATATTTAATTTCAATTATTTATATTTAAAATATATTTAAATTAAATTATGATCATATTTTATATTTTATTTATTTAATCATATATTTTTAATAATTTTTTATTTATAAAAGTAAATTTTTATAAGTTTACGATTTGATTTACGTTCATGTAACAAGATTACTTCAACTCATAAGCTTGGCGCCGCTGATAAATGGGTCATATGAACTCGCCTCTCACGAATGAGGAATCAATGTCTTATCCATCGACTGAAAAGTAAATTTCATTTTTCATTACAATAATAAATGTAATTTTGTCATAACTTTAAAATCATGACTTTTTTACAAAATATCGAAATGCATCTTATATAATTATAAAGAGGCTAAAATGGTCACAAATCAATGCGTCTCACATAATTATATACAACATATTATTTTCCAATCAAACTAAATAATATTGTCCACACTAGGGATAGATTCAAAGTTAATATAGGAGGCAAAAAATGAAAATCTATATATTAAAAAGGATGGGTAGGAATTAATTTAACATCTTCCATAAGTAAAAATTGACAATCTTTTAAAAAGAGATGGGACTTAAGTAGGACTTTAGTTCAATCAAATCAAAATAAATAGATTGTCATATATTAATAATAATATTAATAATAAGTATTTGCTATAAAATAATTTATAAATAAATCATCAACATATCCTGATTTAACTAAAAATAAACATTTTAAATATATAAGACTAAATATATACAATTTTTTTCCTTTTAAAAAAAGTCTTTTAAGTTTAAATGAGTAGAATTTGGGAAAAAAATACTTTGAAGTTCATATAAGCAATTTAAGTACAAAAAGTGATGCGAAATCACAAAATTAGTGAAAAAGTTACATATACTTTTCTCAATCACATTCCACTGCTTTTTTTTTACCAGCATCACATTCCACTACTTGAATCCTACTATTTTTTAGGAGGGGGCACTAGTGCTTCTCTCCTCTTTTCTGTCCTTTTAAATTATTAATATTAAATACTAGAAAAAAATTAATTTTTTAATTATCCAACTTTTAATTTATTTATAATTCAGTCCCTCAATTATGACTCGTTGTAATTGAGTCCCTCAACTATGATTTACCTATAATTCAGTTCATCAATTTTTGAATCACTTACAAATCAGTCCCTAAATTTTTGTTAATTTTTTTCATGTTAGCTTATATCTCACATCAATGAGCAAGAGGAGGTATTTTAAAATAATATATGAGCATTTTTTATCTCTCTTATTTGATAAGAAATTTTTTAAAAAAATTAAAAATAATGATCAAATTATAGGTGAATCAAAAGTTGATAGACTGAGTCACATAAATTTATAATTGAGAGACTGAATCACAATGAATCATAGTTGAGGAATTGAGTTACAAGTGAGTTAAGAGTTGAATGATTAAAAAATTAATTTTTCCTAAACACTATCAATATGTAAATACTCTTTATAGAATTTTGGGAAATTTCCAGTAATTTAACTATAGTATTTTAGTAAATACTCTTTATCAATATATACGTAAATTCTTTTAGGTCTCGCAGATAAAATTTAACTATTTGAGTACATAAAATTTTATAAAATCACAAAACTACAACGAAGTAATTATTAATTAGTACTTGGTAGAGTTGTTTAGTTGACAGTTAAAACAACTACAATTAATAATTATCCAACAGCAATTAACAATTTCAATAAAGAATATAAAATTTTGAAATAATTTTATGTTTAGAATCCTTTTGTGAGACCTAAGAAAAAATTTTCCTAAAATTTATCACCCTTTTTTTTACCAGTATTTATCACCCTTTTTTTTTACCAGTATTTATCACCCTTATTTTGGCATAATAATATGGGCAAAAAGGGGAGAGGGGCCTCTCCTTTTTCCTTGCTCTCTCTTTTTCCTCATTTTTGCTTTTCATCATTGATAGATAAAAACTTTCAACAATTATGATCCAATATTTGATAAAATTATTATTATTATTACTTTTATTATTATTATTATTTATGTAAAAATATATAAACAAATTTGGACTGTTAAAATTTGATCTAAACAATTTAAAATTATAATAAATGCCCATTGTAAATTGAAAACTTTCAACAATTCTTGTAAATGCATGTTGTTCCATTGCAAATGTCCTTTATTAAGT